ATCCAGCCCTGCAAAAGATGCTTAAAGATGTGTTACACACAGAAATACAGAAAATGATCATCAATACCAAAGAAGGTAAAGGAAGAAAATCTCTAAGGAAAAGACTATAGGAAGTTCAAAGTATAAATTAAGATATCTTTGGACAAATGGCAGGGCAAAGTCACTACTTACCAATAGTCACATTGAATGTAAATGGCCTCAACTCTCCAGTTCAAAGACACAGACTGGCTGAATGGATTAAGGAACAAAACCCATCTATTTGCTGCTAACAAGAAAGGTGCATGCAGACTGAAAGTGAAAGGTTGGAAAAAGATATTCCATGCCAACAGAAACCAAAAAAGAGCTGGAATAACCATCTTAATACAAGACAAATAGACTTTAATGCAAAAACTGTTAAGATAATCAAAGAGGGGCACTATATAATGGTTAAGGGATCAATTCAACAGGAAGATGCAACCATTATAACTGTATATGCACCTAATTACAGTTCACTGGGCTATTTAAAAAATATGTTAAGGGATTTACAATACAATACAACACAATAGTATTGGGGGACTTCAATACTCCACTTTCGGCAATGGACAGATCAATCAGACCAATAATCAATAAGGAAAAAGCAAATTTAATTGGCACTATAGACCAAATGGACCTAACAAATATCTACAGAATTTTGATACTGCATTTAGAAAATACACATTCTTCTCAGTAGTGCATGGAACCTACACTAGGATTGACCACATACTAGGCCATAAAACAAGATTAGCAAATTCAAAAGAATTGAAATCATACCATGCATTTTCGGACCACAATGGGATGAAGCTGGAAATCAGCAACTCAGGAAACTCTAGAGCATATGCAAATACATGGACACTGAACAACATGCTCCTGAATGAACAGTGTGTCACAGAATAAAGCAAAAACTTTCTGGAAGCAAATGAAGATAACAACACAACATACCAAACTTATGGGATACAACAACAGCAGTGTTAAGAGGAAATTTTATAGCAATAGGTGCCTACATCAAGAAATTGGAAAGGCACCAAATAAATGAGCTATCAATGCCTCTCAAGGATCTAGAACAACTACAGCAAACCAAACTGAAACTAGTAGAAGAGAAATAATTAAAATTAGAAAAGAAATAAGGGCCAGTGCTGTTGTACAGTAGGTTAATCTTCCACCTGTGGCGCCGGCATCACATATGAACACTGGTTCTAGTCCTGGGTGCACTTTTTCCAATCCAGCTCTCTGCTATGGCCTGGGGAAGCAGTGGAAGATGGCTCAAGTCCTTGGGCCCCTGCACCCGTGTTGGAGACCAGAAGAAGCACCTGCCTCCTGGATTTGGATCGGCTCAGCTCTGGCCATTGTAGCCATATGGGTAGTGAACCAGTAGATGGAAGATCTTTCTGTCTGTCTCTCTCTCTCATTGTCTGTAAGTCTGCCTTTTAATAAATAAATAAAATCTTTGAAAAAATCGGAGAAGAATTCAACAAAATTGAATAAAACAATTACAAAAGATCAGCAAAACTAAGAGCTGGTTTTTGAAAAAATAAACAAAATTGACACACCATTGAAAGAGAGGAAATCTTCCCAAATTCTTTCTTTGAAGCCAGATCACCTTAATTCCTAAACCTGAAAAAGATGTAGCAGAGAAAGAGAATTACAGACCAATTTCTTTGATGAACATAGGTGCAAAAATCCTCAATAAAAGCCTGGCTAATAGAATCCAACAACACCTCAGAAAGATCATCCACCCAGACCAAGGGAGACTTATCCCTGGTATGCAGGGATGGTTCAACATTTGCAAATCAATCAATGTGATACACCATATTAACAAACTGCAGAAGAGAAATCACATGACTATCTTAATAGATGCAGAGAAAGCATTTTCCATCCGATGGTTCACTCCTCAGAAGGCTGCAATATCTGGAGCTGCACCAATCTGAAGTCAGGAGCCAGAAGCTTCATCTGGGTCTCCCAAGTGGGTGCAGGGGCCCAAGGACTTGGGCCATCCTCCACTGGTATCCGAGGCCATAGCAGAGAGCTGGATCAGAAGAGGTGCAGCTGGGACTAGGACTGATGCCCATATGGATGCTGGAACTGCAGGCGGTGGCTTTACCTGCTAGGCACAGCACCGCCCCTTAATAGATATTCTACAAAAATAAGATGGACAGCATGGGGCAGTGGGGCGGGCTAGTCATGCAGCCCCCAGGACACCACCTTTGACTCCCACAGCCAGTGGTGAGGGAGAGGCCATCTCCTTGGAGCAAGGTGAGAGAAACCTGCAGCAGCTCTGTCACTGGTGATATTGCCTGAGGGACAACTCGCGGTCCACATGACTTTGAGTCCAGCCTGGGGCACTAATGGGGACCGTGGTGCCCACCTAATCCTGTGAAGCCAGAGCATGTTGCTTTCTTCCCATCACCAACAAGGGTGCCTGGCAACGACCAGGAAGCACATGCTACCTTAATAAGGTGGGCAGAGGCTGCTGTGGGCCACACAACTGGGGGATTTTTCCTGGAGGGATAAAATGCTGTGGTCCTCACTGACTTTGAGTCTGGCCTGGATGACTGGTCGGGGGCAGGGTGCCAATTAGGCCTATGAAGGACTAACCTTCCCTCACTCAATCAAGGTGGTGGCTGAACTCAACTTGCTAAGGCACAGCACTGGCCAACTTTTATTGGGCAGGAAGCTGGCTCATCCTGTTGCTCTCTCTGGACTGAGGGGGCCCAAGGGGCTGCAAGCAGATCCCCTTCTACCTGAGACCATGGGGCCTTATGCACTATGAATGTGGGAATTCTGTGACTGTGTGATAGGGTGTGGGGTATGGCTGGGTCTTTGGGTAAGCATCATGTGAGGATTCAGAGATTGAGAGTTCCCTGAGTGCCTGGGGTGGGTTGTCACAGAGGGCTCTGTGCTCACATTGATGAACAGAGATGCAAAATCCTCAACAAAATACTAGCCAATGAAATCCAACAACACATCAGAAAGATCATTCGCAAGGACCAAGTGGGATGTATCCCTGGTATAAAGGGATGGTACAATATTCACAAATCCATGTGAAACATCACATTAGCAAATTGAAGAACAAAAACCATACGATTTTCTCAATAGATACAGAGAAAGCATTTGATGAAATACAGCACCCTCTCATGATGAAAACTCTAAGCCAATTGGGTATAGAAGGAACATTCCTCAACCCGATCAATTTATGACAAACACATGGCCATTGTCCTATGAATGAGGAAACATTGGAAGCATTCTCACAGAGATCTGGTACCAGACAAGGATGCACACTCTCACCATTGCTATTCAGTGCAGTCCTGGAAGTTTTAGTCAGATCCATTTGACAAGAAAAAGAAATCAAAAGGGGCCGGCGCTTCGGCTCAATAGGCTAATCCTCCGCATGTGGCGCTGGCATACCGGATTCTAGTCTGGTCGGGGCACCGGATTCTGTCCTGGTTGCCCCTCTTCCAGGCCAGCTCTCTGCTGTGGCCCGGGATTGCAGTGGAGGATATCCCAAGTGCTTGGGCCCTGCATCCGCATGGGAGACCAGGAGAAGCACCTGGCTCCTGGCGCCTGCCATCGGATCAGCGCAGTGCGCCGGCCGCAGCGCGCCGGCCACGGTGGCCATTGGAGGGTGAACCAACAGCAAAGGAAGACCTTTCTCTCTGTCTCTCTCTCTCATTGTCCACTCTGCCTGTCAAAAGAAAAAAAAAAGAAAGAAAGAAAGAAAGAAAGAAAAAATCAAGAGGATACAAGTTGAGAAGGAGGAAGTGAAACTATCTCTGTTTGCAGATGACATGATTTTATATATGGGTATATATGGGGGACCCAAAAGACTCTACCAACAGACTATTGGACTCAGAGAAGCGTTTGGTAAAGTAACAAGATATAAAGTTAATACACAAAAATCAACAACCTTTGTATACACAGACAATGCCTTATCTTACACCTTACACAAAATCCACTCAAATTTGTCGAAGACCCAAGTCTATGACCTGATACCATCACATTATTAGAAAACATTGGGGAAAACCCTGCATGACATTGGCATAGGCAAAGAATTCTTAGAAAAGATCCCAGAGGCACAGGCAATCAAATCCAAAATTGACAAATGGGATTACTTCAAATTGAGAAGCTTCTGCACTGCAAAGGAAATGCTCAGCAAAGTGAAGAGGCAACTGGTAAAATGGCAGAAATTACTTACCAACTATGCAACTGCTAAAGGATTAATAACCAGAATATGAAAAGAGATCACGAAACTCCACAACAGCAAACAATCCAGTCAAGAAATGAACTAAAGACTTAAACAGGCATTTTTCCAAGGAGGAAATCCAATGACCAACAGACACCCTAAAAAACGCTCAGGGTCACTAGCCCTCAGGAAATGCAAACCAAAATCGCAGTGAGGTTTCACCTCACCCCTGTCATAATGGGTTTCATACAGAAATCAATAAACAACATGGCTGGTGTGGATTTGTGGGAAAACGTACCCTAATCCATGGTTGGTAGGAATTAACTGGTACAGCTACTGTGGAATGTCAGTATTGAGTTACCTCAGAAATTTGAATAGAGACCAAGCATATGACCCAGCCATCCCACTCCTGGGATTTTACCAGTGAAATGAAATCAGCATATGAAAGAGTTATCTGTACCCTCATGTTTATTGCAGTTCACTCACAATAGCTAAGATATGGAATCAACCCCAATGCCCATTAACTGAAGACTGGATAAAAGAAATTTTGTGATGAGTACGTATGCATCGACTGTTGAATTCTTTACTTAGGATATGCTAAGTTGATCTCTGTATATAAAGATAATTAAACATGAATCTTAATGAAGAATGGGATGGGAGAGGGAGTAGGAGATGGGATGGTTTGCAGGTGGGAGGGTGGTTATAGGAAGAAAAACCACTATAATCCAAAAGTTGTAATTTTGAAATTTGTATTTATTAAATAGAAATTTTAAATAAGAAAGAAAGACCAAAAAAAAAAAAAAAGAACTTGTGCATCAGCCTTCTCTGGCAGCCCAATGTCTCCATCCCATTTGCCTCAAGCTCTTCAAGCTTCCATATCACATCTTGCATCAACTGCACTGGTCAAGCTAGTGAAGACACCTAAGGCACAAAGGCAGAAACAGCAGGAGATCACCTGATAAGGAAAAGGGTGGGGTAGGGATGGAGGAGACAGAGGGATGGATGGTGCTCTGCATGTTCAGACTCTCAGTGTGGATTTTTTCTGACTACACTAAGAGTCCCTGGGGAAGGTGCTGGTGACTCAGAGGGTGGGGCTCAGCTTTCTACTGAGGAACATGAGGTCTGCTTCTCCGGGACTCATCTCCACACAAGCAGGTCCAGCTCAGAGGGCAGGGGTGGACTCAGGGAATCCCTTTCCCATTTCCCAAGCCAGCCATCTGCCCTGTGCTTTCCCTCCCGTGCTGCCCTCCATACCTGTCACTCAGAATGGCTCCCCTTACCTGACAAGGAGGACTGAGCCGGTGAGGAGCAGGAGAAAGGTCCAGGACATGGGCATGGTGGCCGTGACCTTGGATGGGACGGCTCCTGAGGTTGTGGGTGGCTGCGCTGAATGGAAGCAGAAGATTGGAGGCCCCCATGCAGACTCCAAACCCCAGGAGAGGCCTTCCAGCTCCTGCTCCTGGGAAAGGCAGCCATGCTGTTGCTGTCATAGGGAGGGACACAGCACTGGATCACGTTCTCAGACACACACACAGACATGCACACACCGGCACAACACACACACATGCATTCATGCCTACATCCTCACATGCACACACAGACACACAGCATGCACACAAATCCATGTTCCCACACGCATATCCACCGGCAACCACACCATTGCACCAAAACCCTTGCACACACACATGCGCATGGTGGCTTCACCTCATCTCCAGGGAAAACCCCTTCCCGCCACCCCTGGCCCTCGTTACCTGTAGACTCCAGCATCTCCTCCCTGGGCAACAAGAAGTTCCCCAGCCACCTTGTGCAGTCTCCCATGGACACCTTCCGCAAGAACTCAGTCAGCTGCCGTCATTCTCCCAGGTTGTCTTCATCCAGCTGGCCCCAGGATGAACCTCTGCCACATTCTGGCGTCCGGGTCAAAGAGGAGGCCGATCTGTCCATCGAAGCTGAACTGCCAGGACCCGTGCCTGCCGCCGCTGGCTCCACCAGCAGCACATCCTGCCCTGCAGGCTCCAGGATCTGCCCCCATTGGAAGACATTGGCAGAGATCAGTCTTGACAGGTCCTCTGCCCCACCTGGGATCCACTTCTCCCATCCGTTTCTCTGGTATCTCCTGGCCCTGCTCTGTCCTCTGCATCCTGCACTTCCTCCTGGGGCACTTGAGTGGGGCCAACTTGCAACTTCACAGAAACATAAGGAAGTCCCCATGCCCAGATCAGTCTTGACAGACCCTTGCCCCACCTGGGATCCTGCATTCCCGTCCCCTTTGCATCACCTGGCCCTGATCCTCCACTCCCACCTTGTCGCTGGGCCTCCAAAGGAAGAGCAGTGTCCAGTTCTGCACATGGAAATCCTCAGTCCTGGTTCACAAACCTGCCCTCTGCCCAGGGACTTTCAGGCTCACCCTTGCTTGTGGAATGTTTCATTTCGGCCACTTGCTGGTTGAGGGCGTCCACCACGTCTCGCAGCATTTCTGTCTGCTCTGCCCAGTTGTCAATGGCATCCACTTCCCTCCCAAGGGGGTCAAAAAAGCTGATCTTAGTGAAGCTGCAGTCACAGTGCAGAATCCTCCTGTCATCCACGTGACCTTGAACATCACAGCGTTGCTGTCCATGGTCCCTTGGGATTGACAGTTATGTTGTAGCAGAGGGAGTGACTGTCTGTGGAAGAGAAACACGAGTGAGGCGTGGGGATGAGAAAGGACTCACACTCAACCTCTCCCCCAGCTCCAAGACACTCAGAGCCCACCTGAAGGGCGGGGCTGGGACGCAGGGAAATCAATTCCTGCCATGGCAACTCCATCACTGGCTCCTGACTTTCTCCCACCTGTGCTCCTTGTAATTCATTCAGGTTCTCTGACCAAGTACACAGGGTCCACATGGCCCCCGAGACTCAGAGGGAGCTGGTGACAGGAGTCCTGTGTAAGCACACACAGTACCTAAGCTCACATGCATCTGAACAGAAACTCCGACACCACGTGCTTAGGAAGTGCAAACCATGGTGTGCATGGTCCCTGGGCAGCCACTGTCTTCTGGGAGCACTGGCAGAACTGACTCCAAGAGGCAAGAGAAAGACAGAGACAGGTGTGCCTAGGAGGGCAGGACTGAGAACAAGGTTTCCCGAGAGGCAGGCAGTGGGAAACAGCAACGGCTCTCACTGCACGCCTCTGGGTGAAGGAAAGTCTAGGTAACTCGGGGGAGTGAGCACGAGGACACCAACGTCCACCACCAGAACCGCAGATCTCCACGTACATCCCATGGACGCCGGTCCTGGGTAAAACACAGAACTCGAGCCCAGAACTTCAGTTTCCTGAGCTGGAGCCACCCGTGCCCCTCGCCTGTGAGGAACTCCTGGTGGACACCCTGTGAAAGGCAGGTGTCTTGTTAACTGCTCCGGAGGTACTGGCTGTAGGTTAGGTAGGAAGTGAGCAGGGAGGGTGTTGGAGAGGGACCCTGGGCCACAGAGGGGCCTCTTGAGGGTGGAGAGCAGCAGGTCTGTTTAGTTCACAGTCATGGTAGGCTCCCATGGCTGGAGATCACAGGAAGCCTGTCAGGAGGGGTTGGGCAAGACCTTGACATCTGCCAGCTCACATTCCTCCCTTAAGGGAGGCCTCTCAGCTGCTGGGAGCTGTTTGAGCCACAGCCCTGCAAGTACACGGTGTGAGTCATCCTCCCCTGCGTGTGGAAGAAACTCCTCCTGCAGGAACTTAACACAGATTATGGGTGAGACCACCCTCTGAGGTAGCTGAGTCTGCTGGACA